TAATAAAGTATTTGGTTCAAAATTCCAAGAGGGTTACTAAGTATAATGATTGACACCTAAAGAAAACTGGAGACTCCAACCACCAAAATATAACAAAAAGCAATTTAAGTAGGAAGCCAAATTTCAGGTGTTAACCCTTAAAAACCGCACCATGAAAATGCATAGCCACTTGTGGTGACTGTTGAAAAATAATGTTTTGTAATTGAAAGATTTTCTCTCTTAAAGTGTTATTGTGTTCCCTGTATCTCATAGTTACTATGGAAATATAGGAAGCCTTCATTTTGGATCAACTCTTGTATTTTAACCTGTCATGTTTGTTTAGTATACATGTACAAACTATATGAATTATACCAAATAAATTTTGGTATTTCAAAGCTATATATGTATAGCTGGCCACTCATATTTGAAGATACCTGTCTTTTATGGGGTCTAGCCAATCCCTATTGCAGACGTTTTCTCAGGCACATTTGTTTGTTCAACACCCACAGTCCACCTTTAGTTTATACTGCAACTATGCTGAGCAGACCTTAGTTATAATTTCTAGGAAAGAGCGTGTTATCTAGTGTGATCAACAATTTGAACAAGGGCAGCATGCTCAGTCCCTCAGGCATGATGACTTGTGACTGTGCTAGCACAGCTGTCAATGCCAAGGGTTTTGTTTACCCAATTTCACTCACAAGGTCTGGGTCAACCCGTGGTATGGTTTTCAGGCACTTTCCAAATGCGCCGCATGCTGGGATCAATCCCTCCTTCTTGACAAATCGAACATGGGTCTCATGGTCAGAATGCAAACATTCTAACCACTCAGCCATGTGCCCAGACATTTCCAAGATAATTAATCTGTTAAATATTTCTTTACTAAGACATTTCTTAGATTTTATATTTTAAATTTATGATGGTGGATCAATAACTCTGTAGCCTAATAAGTATTTATCAGCTGAACTTGGATCTAAAATTGCACTGTATAATATTTTATCTGATTAATATTCAACTCTGAATTAGGTGCATTGACAAGGAAGGAGATTATGCTGAAAAATACGCTTTCTTTTTTCATCATTAGGCTATGGATTGATGTACCAAAATACAAATGTAAAATTTATGAAGAAAGATTAGCTGAGTTTTGAGCTGAAATCTTGTATGATTTAGAAGTTGACTTAAGTTTCAGGAAAATGAAAAAAAGCTATTTTCTTGTCTAATTATTTTCCTCTCCTTCTCTCAACAAGGAAAAGAAAACAATAAATATATAATCTCTCTTCCTTTTAGACATTTAACACTTGTGTATTTTCTAATTTTGATATTTTTTTAAGTTTTTACATATGGAGATTCTTAAAGGATGAGAGAAATGAAAAAAAAATGTAATGATCTTTTTATTTGAATGAAAAGTTAAAAATTCCTTGTCAAATAGTTTGCCTCTTTTTTTTTTTTCTTCTTTTTTCTTTCTTGTATTTTATTCATACAGTGGATTTAACATGCATTCTAAGTAATGATGATTCTTTATTCAGTTTTGTTATTAGTGTACATCTCCAGATAGTAAACTTATCTCATGGAGAGGTTTGAATAGATAAATATGCAAAAGTGAAGTTGTGCAAATATCTAATTTTGCTGTGGTTACTACCCCTTATTTGTACAAGAGCATTAAGTCCTTCTAGGCTTACCATTACAATATCTTCTAGTGTTCATTTACAAATTATTATACAAGCTTTAGATTAATGATTTCATTTTAGGCTATATGATTTCTGCTACAGCTAAAATTCACACATTTTATGTTAGTTACAATAATCATAAACAAAGATGAATATTTCTCTCATAATTAATAGAAAGTACAATGATTGGTTATTAAATTGATATCATTCAGGAATGTCTGCAATGTGCCTATCTTTTTTTGTGCAACTGAAACACAAATCCTTTTAGAGATCTCTAGAATCTGCTGCTATGCAAATTCCAGAAAGGTGCTCTGCTTAAAAGCAAATAAACAGTTTCTTATGAAAGCACATTCCTTGATTTACTGCTGTCCTTCTGCCTCTGGTGTCAAATGGGAATTTTTTTCTTCTTCTCTTGGTCTAATGGTTGAAAACATAGAATGGAATTGACAAACAAGAGTTCAAACTCTGGCTATTGACAGCTTGTGTTTATTTTTCACTTTAGTCTTTTGAAAAAGCATAAATGCACTTCTCTCTCAGCTATAGGTAAGTAAGGCAGTTGGTGCTCTTTAGCCCTGGAAGGTATCAGCAACACTGGATGTAGTTGCAGACCTATAAGTCTACAAAAATAAAAATGTTACTATTAAAAAAAAAAAAAAAAAAAGTTAATTATTAGAGATTGAGCTTCATGCCATCATATTTTTTTTTAAGTTGAAAACTATCAAAAATTGGATTCTCTTTTCTGTTGTTAATTTTAGTTGACTTGTTTTAATGCATATAGTCATGGAGAGTATCTCTCTCTATATATATCTATCTATATCTTGCTCTCTCTCTATATATATATATCTATATCTTGCTCTCTCTCTATATATATCTATCTATATCTTGCTCTCTCTCTATATATATCTATCTATATCTTGCTCTCTCTCTATATATATCTATCTATATCTTGCTCTCTCTCTATATATATCTATCTATATCTTGCTCTCTCTCTCTATATATATCTATCTATATCTTGCTCTCTCTCTATATATATATCTATCTATATCTTGCTCACTCTCTCTA